AAAAATCGACCAATTTCTATGAAACTTTACCAGGGTGTTATACGGCCACAAAGAAAACAGTTTGTTTAAACACATCTAACGCATCTAACGATTTGTGAGACTTTTATTAGACGTAGGTTTTCCTTAGTAAAATGGTAATAACTAGTAATAGTTTGTCCTTTCGCATTCGCAGACGAGTATGTTAATTATTAAAATTGGTTTAGCATTTATGAAATTCTAAAGCAAGTTGATTATTTGATTCAAAATCTAATGATTTAGTTAAATCTATAAGCATTTCTTCATATCTACTGTATATACAGTATTAATCAATAAGTTTCTCCATGTCTATGCATTATTTGGTTCAATTTCCAATGATTTAGTTAAATCTGCAGGTACTTCTTTGTATTTTCTTTTTTTTTTTTGTTTTTTTTTGTTAAAAAAAAAAAAAACGTTACCAATGCTCTATTTGATTCATTTCCACTATCAATCTAGGTGAAATATCAACCTCTTCTATTTCCTCAGATTCTTCCTCATTACTTTCTATATCATCATTGTCATCATCAAGGTCTTCCTTGGTAAGTGTATCCGCCCCTTTTTCGATTCGAGTTAAAAATTTTTGAATGTTTTTGAAAATTTCTTTTTTATAATATTCAACACAATGTTTGCATTTTCCATTATAACAATCATTATGATAACCGTGGTCGCAAACAAATACCATGCCATTGTTATCGACAAGCAAATGCCCACAAGAATCACATAATCCTAGACGCGGAGGATGCGCTGTACTATAAGCTGTTGGGAGGTGCCGTAAATCTACATCTTTCTTTAAAGTTGCAAGATAGTATGTGGTTGGCAGATTTTTTTTTTTTTTTTTTTTATCTTTATTGGATCTTGAGATACTTTTTCTGCGATTGTAAAAAATAGATTGAAAATGTTGTACAAGAAAAAGTGCCATTTTATTGTATAAAAAGTTTAATGTCTTTGCATTATATGGGTACTGTCGTGTCTTGCAGTAGGTGTTTTTAAATATAGAATCGTGATTCATAATAAAGTAGGCTTGTTTTATAATACTATCTACTGATGTGTTTTTGGATGTATTGGCTCTAATTTTACTGTGTACATTTTCCACATAATATTCATTGAAACATGTTAAATGATTCTGTAAGATGTTTAAAAAAGAATAGTTAGTATCATTCCAGTAAAATAAATCAGATAGAAATACAAGAGGCACTTTGTTGTAATTCTTTCGCTTCTAGCGCAAAGTGAAAGTCCAAATACGAAAAATCGCCTCTACATATTCATTAAATTGACTCGATCAAAACAGAATTGCATAGGCGTCGAGTGTTGCTGGGACTAAATTGTCAAGCAGATCTACTACAGCTCGATACTCGACATCTTTGCATGCTCGTCCAAATTTTTCAATGATCTTGTCTTTGATTTTTATCCAGCCATTTCACGCGAGTTCTAATAAAAGGTTTACTCGCCAAGGACGAGGCTTCTTGACCAATTTTTTATTTTTGCCAAATACATAGTAGAACAATTTTTCAAAAAAAAAGTAGTGTATCATAATTACTTGCTCTCTACTGTTAAGGGATACGTGAAGCGGGCCTAAAATAGGCAAGAAAGACTCAATTTGTTGTGGAAATGAGGACTGTAATGCAGGCAACATTTGCATGTATAGGGCTTTTCTAATAAAAATTTGGCCGGGCCAGTCCGTGACAACTGGCGCAACTCACCCATCCAAATGTTGTGTCTTGTTATTTATTGACAATATAAGTTTTAATGCACTAATGTAATCTTGTACAGAATATAAATTTTGTTCCTTAAATCCTAAGAGTTGAAGCCCTTTTGTCGATCGCTCTTCCCTACGTTCCTCTATATTATCTGCATAACTATGTATTGTTAATAGTTCGATTGGGTCAAAATTATTACTAACTATACGACCTTGTGATTGCTGATAATCTGAGTACGAAATATCAAATATTCTAGCATATTGATTAAGCAAGTACCAACAAATCCTCGGTGCTTCTACATTTGCCAGGTTGTGGATTGATATACCATTAAATACAAGTGGTACAGAGGAGCATCCTATGATAGGTTTTGCTACGCATGTAGCGAAATGGTTTGCTGTTGAAGTAGATACCGTATCAGGCCTACGGTTCTCGTGAATGGAGTGATAGTCATCAATGTTATAAACATGAAAATTATTCTATTAAAAATATGAATTTATTTTAATAAATATATTTTAATATATTATATAATAAAATACAATACAATATTACATGTTCTAAAAAATAATTATCGATTTTTACTGAATGCTCTTTTTGAATTTTTTTTTGATATATATCTACTGTCTTGGAGCACACTGAATATCCAAGACTTGACATTGTGTCAATAGCCTCCCACGTCGCACCTGATGCTCTCAAATACAACCCTACTTCTAATTTATGCTGGTTTACAAATTTGTTGCGTAAACCCGCGATTAAATAGCACAACCCAACCACCGATTTTTTAGCTTCGCTTATGCTATAAGCAGAGCGCTCTTTAGGAATAATTGCTTCCGTCATAAAATTGAAAAAACCTTTAAGATCCAGATTAATTGTTTCAATCATTCGTTCGAAATTTACCGGATCCAATTCCAAACTAGTACGTTCCCGGCGTTGTTGATAGTATAATGCTTTAGTTAGCATATCTATACTTGAAGCGAACGTATTCTATTTTTAAATTAATAAAAAATACAGTACATAAATATATAAAATAAATAATTTATAAAAAAAAAATTAAATCTAAAATAAAATACATCAATTGAATTATTTGATTGAAGGTTTATTGGCTCTAGCACATTTTCGGGTTGAACATGTTTTTTGACATACGGCTCTACTAGTTTGCAATAATGCAGATGGCATAGTTGTTTCCCAACCTCAAGGTAAGGATACGCCTCTAATGTTTGTTTCCTTTGGCATTTTTCGTAAGCAAGCACTGTAATTGTACGAAATTGAACATTGGTATTCGTACAACTGATAATTGAACAAGGGCCCAAATTTTTGGTGGGCATTTTTGCATAAATTTTGCCTTTTTTTTTTTTTTAGATAAAAATGATTAGTCATCGCAAATAATAAATATTTCTTGCGCTTTAAAAAATAGGAATAATAAGACTTACTATAAACCTTGGTCTTGGGGAAGAGAAGCCTGACCCGGAGAAACTTGACCCAGAAAAACTTGACCCGAGAAACCTAACTCTAGCAATAACGAAAGGCCCCGGAGAAACTTGGCCAACTAACAACACCTGACCAAGGCGAAAATTGGCTAACAAACTTGACCCGGCGAAACCTGACTCGGCGAAACTTGACCCAGAAAACTTAACTGCTGAAGCTTTACTACGGTGAACTTAACCACGGCAAAGCTTGAATATGACAAAACCAGACTACAACAACAATCCACACTCTTTCAATCACACGTAAACTCAACTACGCGGAAACTATACAAAACACTGCTCTATTTGCGCCGAATGCTTAGCCACAAAATTTTTAATCGGCAAGTATAAAATTTTACTAATTTTATTAGCCAATCATATTTAACAATTTAGGATCTGCGATTTACACACGTGTAGCCAATAAAATTGAACTTCCGTCATGCTTATTGCGTCATATAATTAATTCACTTTCGAAATTTTGTTATGGACTCGTTGAGTAAATATTAACAACCGCTTTTAATCTCTTACAATGTAAAAATTCTAACTACTCGACCTGTTATATACTTTGCAGTTCCCCGATGAGGCACGAAAATATGTTATTGGATATCATGAAGAAAAACCCTTCGCGCTATTATTTTGCACTTAAGCTGTCCAAAATTACAATTGAAATTACATCGTTATTTGCACTATCTGAAGAAAGCTGAAGATCCTTTAATTAAACAATTTCCTCAGATAATTGAGGATGAATTAGGACAATGTTTCTTATGTGTCAAACTGTTTCATGCCGAACAAAGGGCTCGATAATAGGTGACCTGACTTTATATTCATGTCTTCAAACCGTTTTGAACCGTTTTTTACTTTTTTCTTGTATTTTGTCAGATATTCAGAAGTATTTAAAGATGAAGAAAAGAAAATAATGTAATATTGTTTTTTTTTGGAGAATGTAATACTTTTCGAATTTAAAACATTGGATCACATCACGAGTTGTTGGTGAATTAGTGGATAAAACAAAACCTTAAACGTGTAATCCAAATCAGCTGATATTAATGAGAATTCTCCGAATGGTACAACGCCTTTTTCGAAATTCTTTTCAACCATTTTTACTCATGGGCTTGAGTAAATCGTTTGTTGACATTTTGGTACATTTAAAAACCGATGAGTCTTTCAAATTAGCATACAGTTATTTGCCGAGTATACACATCCTCACGCTACATAAAAGAGCCGAAGTAAGAAATTGGGCACAGCATCTCTGAAGGAAATGACTAAGATTTTTGAGACAGAAGAATTTCAGTGTTGTATTTACTTTTCTAAGTCAATTAAAGCTATTTTGAGAAAGCTTACGAATTTCAACAAATCACCTCGTAAAAATACGATACAATTTACACTCAAAATATGTGGTCAATGCTTAAGGAGTTAAATTAATAATATCTGTCGTGGATCAAAATATGATTAGAGGGAAAACAGACATAATTAAGTTAATCCGCGACAATTTATAGTCACTTTCCAATATTAAAGAACTTGTTTTCATTGAAACGCTTGGGTGTTTAGAAAATCTTCTAGACAATTTGAAACTCTATTTTGGAGTCATAAGTGGAGTCGTATTCGCCTTTGAAATTTTGACAGGGTTTGTTTAACTGGAAGTCAAATGCCATGGAAGACATTCATATTAAATGCCATTCATCTACATATGATAATAATTCAAAAACTCGGTGTTTAACTTCGTCAAAATCGAGGCATTTTGTTGATCAATGCATTTCTCGAGATATTTGAAAACCTATTTCATCTTGGTAATATTAAAAATATTCATAACTTCATACTTATGGAAACAATGGAAACAGGACAACATCATTCATTAAGTTGTTTCAACGACTCATCAAAAGAACTCCAAGAACACGTAGATAGATTTTTAAAGAAATTTGGTAATAAAAATTCGAAAATAAATCAAGTATTTTTGCCAATTGAAAAGGTTACCTTTCAATAGTCACCAATTTTTTTCAATAGACAGTCCTCTTTTCAACAAACGGGAATTCATTATTGGCACTATACCACTTTTGAATAAATTGTATCTGATTGACACTTATGCAAAATGGATTCAACAATGCACAGCACCTGTTATAGAAGAGACACGTAATAGGTGTCCTTGATACATTCGTAGAATGGACTGAAATCGGGTGTGATCCTTCTAATTGGTTGAAAATATTCAACTACTATCATCAATTGTATTCCATGACCCTAGTTTTGGTGAATTTGGCATATCAAAAATCAGTCGTTGTCTGAGGATAAAGTTTTATTGATTTGTATATACTGGAATGCTTTATGATATACGTTCATTCAAGTATTCAAAAAATATGATATAGTTTCTGCGACAATCCATCATGAGGTTACTATGCAATTATATCATTACAAGAATTTAGTAATAAAGTGGTAAAGCGATATTCAGACCACTAAAAACAACGTTCATTATGGTACTACTTTAGTTCTGCAGGCTCAATTCTGCAAGATCTGGATTATGATGACGGTGCTGTAAGTTTCTAATTATATAATTTATTCTATTTTACATTTATAATTTGGTAAACTTTTATTTAGTTTCGATTCGTTAGTGAATTAAGCAAGATCTTGATTATGGTGACGATACTATAAATTTTGAATTATAATTTGTTCTATTTTACATTTGTAATTTGTTAATCTTATTTATTTATTTGTTTATTTATTAGTGGCCATCGAGTCTAAACATAAGAGACTTTTTTAATTTTCTCGATTTCCGATCTTGACAAGAGAAAAGTCATAAACACGAAGTTCGAAATCAGTTTTCAAATTTCATTCGATATATATACGTTTTATTTTCTTTTGGCTAATACAATGGACAAAGGTATATATGCTGTTTTGTAATCAATAGAAAATGAGAGGGGTTAATGTTAAGTTTTCGAAAGTATGCATCTGTCGTTATGCATACCGTAGAAAGGATGTTGGGAGAAAAACCTGTTTACATGTAGTTGGAGTTATTCAAGTTTAGTAGCTTCAACTGCATGTATGCTTACAATTAGTTACGGGTTTTACTTTACGACACCTATCGCAATGCAATCTAGACCTCATAGACTAACTATTACGTCCAAATCATGCTGTTCTAGAACTTATTTTCTCGAAGGTTACTTTTCTGACAGGACATTCATTAGGTATTCGATTAAATGGTCTGACAGAGAAGTAATTTCCGAGAAACTAAGTTCCCCAGCTCTAGTCATACGAGCGGGTTGCCTATATAATTATTTTATAATTGTATAGAAATTGTCGGTAGTGATGATTTTTATGTCCTTTTGCTTTAAGGACTCCGGCTCTAGAGGAAGGGTCGGCTATATAATTCCTTAGAGCAGTTGAAACTTCTTGTAGGGGATGTTCACTCTGAGAAGATAAGTTGAAATACGCTATCTTTTAATGTTGCTGATATCCCTGAAACATAAGGCTTGTTTCTGCCAAAAGGGTCGCAGAGAATCGTTTATGGATCTGTATGTAACTTCCCTTGGCGGTCAAGAAATTTCCGGGAATCGAATCATCCTGGAGAATAATTCTTTACTAACTGGCAGTCTCTGTGGCTATGCGGAGGATAACTGAAGCTACTTTTCTTTAACGCAACTCATTACTATTTGTCGCTTACTTTGTATATACTTGTAGTTATAGTATAACTAACTTTTTTTTTTTTATAGTGATTGGACCTGGATAAATCAATTTTATATGCGAATAACAAGATATTAGAGTATAAAATCTAGTAAAATACCACATATTCTGGTAAATTAAGAAAAATTCTAGCGCAATTTTTTAATGGTTAGAAATTTCCGTTATTTCACAATTTTAATAATTTCTTACATCATAACTGATTGTTACTATCGTTACTACCTCCAGCTATAGATTTTAAATTCGTTTGGTAAATATATCAGTATATGCGATGCCACAATTTTGTGCACTGTTAGGTATGTTGTCGTTATTAATAACTAATGTTAATTTACAAAAACGTGAAACTCAATAACTGCAATTTATTTATTAAATTTAAATAATTATTCTTCTATACAGACTAATTGTACGCTTGCAAGTTATAGAATTTGTGCAAATAGCCGTATTCAACTTATCGTCATACTTTATTTTATTTCGAAAATTGATGCTGTAAAAAATTAGTATTCGATTTATATTGGAGTCACATCATCTCAAGGTAGACTTTCTCTTTGGTACCTGTTTAATACTGAAATATAAGCCCTAGCTAACGCTTTGGACAATTAATACATAAAGTTAAATATCCTATTGATCGGATGACTTATAGTTGGTGATTAAAATTTTAAATTTTGGTATAATTAAAGATGGGCGCACGCGGGATTTTTAATATGATCCCAAAATAAGTTTAGCTGGTTGGCATTACCATAACATCTGGCTAGTATTAATATAATATCTACCTTGCATTAACATATTTAGCTAATTTCTAACTAGAATTGATTTATTTATTTGCACGCCTTTTATATAACATGCGTGGTAATAATGATATTTGGAATCATTTTACAAAAATTGACCAGATGAAAACTTTAACCAAGGACGTGCTCAATGTAATAACTGCGAATAAACCTTGCAAAAAACATGGAAATTTACTATTTTAATTCGGCAACGATCAAAAATTTAGGCAAAATTACTCGAATTTTTACTAATGAAATCGTGGTCGCCTATTAAGTGAAATTAGGGTTTGAAAAATTACCTTAATTTTATATAATTTCAGTAGTTTTACGTAGTTGTTATGGCAAGGGAGAGCTTTTATATCTTCCAATCAGATTTAACTCAGTGAAAGCATTATGGGTAGAGTACATGTAGATCATTTGTCATATGATTTGCGCAGTGAATTTGGATTTATATAGTAAGTAAAAAATATGGTACTAATAAAATTTTTTAAAAACGTACTAAATTTTTATCAAATTTTTATAATATATAAATTAAATTGGTTTATTAACCCATTCCAATCTTTTTTTCATCGGCATGGTGAAGATCGTTTCTTTAAAAGTATGGATAAACAAATTGTTCTTTTATTATTGGTCACATATTTACTCGTGATCCGCCACATTTCCTTTTAAGCTAAAACGGAAAAGATTTTCATAAAACATTTTTATATATTCTAATGATCTGATCAATCTGAGTAGAATGATCAGATCGATCTGAGCATGCGCCCCCAAAAATTTTTGTCGAATTCAGGTTGTATTTATAATGTTTTTCAAGTTTTGGTCTTTACTTTTTTGGACGACAAGATTTAATTACCGATTTCGGCTTTTGCTCATGATCTTATCAGGTGGTTTCGGATTAGTCCGAAAATTCTTTACTAAAGTAATAAATAAATAAAATAAAATAAAAACTTATTACTTTCCTTTTATAATATGTTTGTCA